TATTACATTTTATTGCATAAATATTAATGTAATATCTTCACATTATATAAAATAATATGAAGATATTATTTTTCATAATATGAAGATATTATTTTATGTAAAATATTTTACTACATGAAATATTTTGTAATAATAAATGGAAATATGAGAATATTGTATTTTCATTTATGAAGATGAAATATGATTTTTTTTGGTAATATAAAATATATTTTATATGATGTATTATTTTACAAAATATTTAGATTTACAAATACCATAAAAAGTATAGAAGTTTAAGAAGGTATCAGTTTTAGGGTGTACAAGCGATTGTATTTTGCTTTTCCCTCACTAATATGTTGGTTTTTCAGTTAACTGTGAACAAACGTTAGAAATTATTTCTGAGGATCTCTATGTTGCATTTCAACCCAGTGATGCGGATGTGTTTTTATGTTTTATTTCCATCACATCATTTTGGTTTGCAGGAAAGTCAGAGGTTACATTTACTGGAAGCCCCAGCCGCGGCGCCTGCTTACCGAGGAGGAGTATCAGAAAGAAGCAGAAGAAGAAACCCGCCGTGCGCTGGAGGAGCTGCGTAAATACTGCAACAGCCCAGAGTTCAGTCCCTGGAAGGCCGTGTCCAGGCTTCAGTCCCCAAAAAGGTGCCCGTTTGGATTTTTAGACTTATCTGTGCAAAATGTTGTTGAAGAAAGATTTTACTTCAGAATAAAAATGGTGAGAGGCCAGCAATGGTTAAAAATATTAGAACAGAAAAAAAAACCCAGATGAAAATATGAGTCTGCTGCTTTGTTTTTCACTGACTCACAGGTCGGACATTTTGGGTATATTACAAGTTGAACGATGAGCTAATCCCTTTAATTTCCTGAGCTTACACAGAGTTTATTTATTTACCTAATGAGGTCACTGTTCAGATTAAAGATGATTCAGTGTATTTTTACAGATTTATTCATCACCTAAAGTCAAAATAGGAACAACGACCATTAGATAACTCAGGTCGGTCGGTCCCGGATTACGTCGCAGCTCCATTTCTGATTAAGTTTGTTCATTCCTGGCTTCTGCATATTTTCCTCTTTAAATTTTTCCATTCTATTTTATAATAGACTTTTCTTTTCCTCCTGCTCCACAAATCATAAAATATCCCAATGCTGAAGTTGGGTTCTGACTGAAACAGGGCTGTTTGATATTATCTCTGATTTGCAGGAGGCTGCTTGTGTAAATATTAAAACAGTAGAAAATCATGTCCTACATGTTGCACTTTTTCTTTTAAAAAATTCTTAGTTTGTAAATAGTTTTCTTGTAAATTTGTGATGCATTTAATTCAACTTATTTATAAGGAACAAATAAATGTCACCTCAAAACACAGTAGAGAAAAATAGAGCTCTGGAAAAACGAATACACCATTGCACCGAACCCCATTGAAAACCTTCTGGTTTTATCACCAACTATTGATCTCTGAACTCTTCCTGTCTGAGTTAAAACATTAGTATTGTTGTTTATAAATGAGTATGAACTTGTTTCCTTTGTATAATTTGAGGTCTGAAAGCACTGAATCTTTTTGTCATTTTGACCATTTCTCATTTCCTGCAAATAAATAAAAACATTTGCTTGGAATGTCAAGGTTTCCCAGAGGAAACCTTCTAAGCCTGGTGGTTGGAGCGCACAAGCTGTCATTCTTCCAGTGGCCCGTGGTGTTTTTGAGTTAAAAAATGTTTAAAATTGACAAGGAATTTGAAAATATCACTTATTTATGTGCCATAGTCTTTAAAAAACTGCAAATATTTTTTAAAACCTTAAATAAGCAATGCTTAGCCTGGTACAAGTAAAGCCTGGTGGCCCGCCAGGCTAATAACACATCAGGGGGAAATCCTGCATGTTGTCAGTAGTTCATAGAATAAAAGAGTAATGTTTGTTTAGTTAAATGTTTACCTAAAATCAGAGAAACTGATCATTTTAAGTGGTCTCTTAATTTTTTCCAGAGCTGTATAATCAAACCAGTCCAAAATGATCTATTCATATGGAAATTCTAATTTTATCCTCGTTATAAGTCAAATTCAGGTAAAAATTGCCACCTGGGGATCATTTAGTGAGCAGTAACTCGTCATTCTGAGCAAGCATGTGGTGAGAGTGGAGAGGAACGACTCTCTTTGAACAGGAAGAAACCTCGAGTAGAACCAGCATCAGTGTGAGCGGCCATCATCTAGGAGAGAAATAGGGAAGCAGTGAGTCAGCTCTATCTAACGGGATGGACAACAGGGTTACACAGACTTGGTTTCAGCCGTTAAATTAACTTCATATCCATAATCAACAGGTTTGCCGATTTTATCGAAGGATCCCCACACTTGATGTCAAACGAGGTGTCCGTCCACGCGCAGGAATACGGTTTTGGAGGAAGCTTTTTTGAGGACGAGTTCTTCGACACAGACGATGAGGAGGACATTGAAGAAGACCTGAAGCCTATGATGAAGCCTGAGTGAGAGAGCAGAAGAAGAAGAATCAAACTGCACCCTCTGATGGGCAGGTTGAAGAACGCCTCGCTGGGGTTGTCCAGATTTTCATGCTCGATGGGGGAAATCTCTGGACTGGGCTCCAGACGGAAAAGAAAAGCTGAACACTTCAGGTGTGTGAATGCATCCCTCAGATGTTAAATGGGTAAATTTACATTGAGAGTTTTTGAGTGAGTTGCATCAGGTTTTACTTTGACTAGGCATGCGTTTCCAACCATTAGGCTGTGAATGGGGAGAATCTTCTTCACGTTTTCTCCACACTGAGACTCTTACTTTTGTAACTATTATATCAGAAGAAAGACTGGTCATGTGTTTTCTTCATGTTAATTTTAATGGAAATATCTGTGGAACTGTACTAAAATATTTTGAATAAAAAATTTTTATATTTGTGTTTGGCCACCTAGTGATGCTTTTGAAACTTGAATATATAGTTTTTATGATTTATCCTGTCCTAAAATATGACTAGTATATTAATGTCCTTTTTAATTATGTTCCAGATACTGTGGCCAAGACATGGTTTATTTATTAAATGTGTTTTTCTAGATCAGTCTGAATTCACACATCTGTTCCCCAACACAATCTTCCACAATCCAGTAATTATTACTATTGAATGAATTATTTACTGTAAAAGCTTAAATTCAAAAATACTTTCCTGACTACAAAAGGAAAATAAATGTTGCTGTAATTCATATTAATTCAAGATTCTTCAAAAAGGTTATTGCACTTGGTGATGACTGTTGGCAAGAAAAATCTCCTGCAGCAGTCTGTATCACAACGAATTTGAAGAAGCTTCTAACTGAAGATGTTTTTTCAAATGAAATCTTTTATGTTTTTTTTTTTGTTGCAGCTTGTTCCATGCTATATTAATCTCTTTCTTCAAAATTCTCCACACAAATACTGCATTAGGGTTATGTGCACATTTATTAAAAATAATAAGCAAAAAAAATCACATTTACATTATTATTAATGTGATGCTACAGTGAGGCATGGTAGTGGTGGTATCATGCTGTGGGGATATTTGCAGCAGCAGGAACTGGCAGATTAGTCAGGATGGAGGGAAAGATGACAGTGGTGATGTACAGAGATCAAACCCGGCTGCAAACCCAAACATCTAATCATTATTAATCAATTATTGAAATAATCTCATGTTAGTAATTGACAGAGAGTATTTTAAATGTGCAGCATATTTATGACTTTCAAGGATATTTGACAATTTTTCAACAGTGAAGGTTTTCTAAAACCTTCCTGTTACCCTTCATTCCAAAACTAGTTTTTATGTGTATTTGGGATCATTGTCCTGTTCACATTATGAATTTTGTCCAAGCTTCAACTGAAATTATTCTGGAAAGATTTATTGGATAGACCAGGTAAAGTTTGCTCTGTTAGGTCACAATTAAGTCAAAAAATAAAAATAAAAGTCAGAGTTTCTGTCCAGCCTTTAAAAGTCTTAAATTCATTTCTAAAACTAATGCCTTAAGATGTATTAAATCCATTAAAGACGATGTAAGTTGGTCTTAAATATGCTTAAATCTTTGTTGTGGCAGGACGATTTAAATGCCACATTTTCTATGTTCTTTTTCCTCTGACTTTTCCATCAAGCAGATGTTTGCCAGACCTCTTCATGCAACGCGTTCTGTGACTCCAGGCGGCTAAAGCTATCCACAACAAGCTGCTGATGTTAGCTAGCTAGAGAGACATAAGCCGTGTGAAAAACACAAAGCTGCTGCCAAAGAACAACAAAAACAACTTAGAAATGGACAGTTTTGGTCCCATGTGTTTCTTTTGTACATCTCCAGTGATTTTAGGTCTTAAATTTGAACATAAACCCTGAAAATGTTTAATCACAGGAGAATCAAATGATGTCGCTCATATTATGCAAGGTACTTCACAGATACTTATGGATGACTTATTGCAGTTGCCCATCATTTTCTTAGCAGGAAGGTGGTGGGTGCATCATGCTGAGGGTCTGTGTCATGAATCTGCTCTTTAGTCAGAAACTATCTGAAAGTTCAACATTTGTGGCACAGGAAGCGCCCAGTTATTCATCTTCACCTCACTTCAGGCTACTTGACCTATAAAACCAAACTTATTTTTAGAAAAGGTGTTTTGCTATGGAGAAAGAAGCATATTATTCAACTTAAAGTCCAAAATTTAATGTTAGACTCTCCTTTAAAACCAAGGAAATTATCCCATTCAAATCAACTGTCAAGATTTGTCAGATATCTGGTGCAGCTTTATGTCTGCATGTTTTTATTTTAATTAGAAAAGAAATCCACAAATTTAATCTTTAGCATCCAAGTCCCGATTTTATTCTCATTGATCCACAAATATGTGGTGCATAGTTATTACAGCCTGAATGAAAAATATTTTCAAAATGCATCAAAGCCCCAAATAAATTAAATGTGTGTAAACGTCGGACTGTAAACGTATCTAATTGTTTCAGTTATTGATGCCTGGGTTAGGTGGAGTGTTAATTTCTAAGAATAACAGGAAAACTCATGTTTTTACCACATTTAAAAAAAAAACATAGTGCTTGGTAATCTGCAAAACAAGATCAAAGATAATTCAGGAGAAATTTCTGACCTTTTTCATATCTGTTCATTACTGAAAACATATTTGTCTTTCCACGTCAACTCAAAACTTTAAACAAACAACTCGCTGTGCACTGAAACTTTTTAAATCTGTTGCTCACAAACCCTGTGTCAGTATGACTGATGTTAAATTCAAAGCAGAAGCTGAGCCAGAAATACATTTAAAAAAGAAAAACAGCTTTTCAGAGCAGATGTTATCTTTCATCAAAGCACAATCTACATTTGAAAAAGAACACTACTTTCTCTCTTACTCTCCCACTCTAGTTTCAGTGTCATCTTGGGGACACGGTGACATTTAAAGGCAGCATCAGCGAGAATCCCACCGCAGGTTTCTTTACGATCTGCGTGTCCACGCAGCGATCAACACCGTTGGAAATGCTTGGTAACAATTACTCAACAGGTTTAAAACGGCTGATACATTGAGCAATATTTGCATGTATTTCCCAGGCTCAGCTCAACCTAGGCAACATTCACACGTCGCTGTGTTTCCTTTGAACTACTTCCCCGAAACATGCATTACAAACAGGGAAACCCTCGCTCCAATGCAAACAGGACTCTATTGAATGCGGAAGGGGGGGAACCCCTTGAATATACGAGTATATGGAGAAAACTGTGACAGCCCCCTCATGTAAAGTGTCTGGACTTCCCCACAGCTTGAAAACTGGCCTACATCGGGCCAGTGGGATCCTTAAAGGTCTTACATTAACACGCCTAAAATTAAGGCCTTAAAATGTCTTATATTTATTAACAAACAAGTTAGCTTTAAAAACGTTAATCACAGGTCTTAAATTTTGTTGTGGCAGGACTAATTAATGTTATATATTCTATGTTTTTTCTTACGGGACTGTTGCACAGACATCTTCACTTACTGTGTTCTATAACTCAAAGCTAACAAGATGCTAATGCTAGCTAGCAAGAGAGCCATATGCCATGTGAAAAGCACACTGTAACTGCCAAGTCCCACAAAATAACCCCAGAAATGTTAGTTTTAGTCCCCTTCATTTGTTTGGTCAATCTCTTGTGATAAAGGTCTCAAATTTTATTCACATGGTCATAAAAAGTCTTAAATTTGAGTAGGTGAGACTTGCATAAACACCGAAAATAATATATTTATCCCAAAGGAAGATTAAATGACTTAATGTCATCTAACAGCATGAAAAGGATTTTCTTAAATTTATTAATATAAAGTAAAGGCCTTAAAACATCTTAAATTGATTGAAAAACAATAAGTTGGCCTTAAATATGTTAACTGCAGGTCTTAAATTTTTTATGGCGTTACTATTTAATCTCATTCTATTTAGTTTTCCTTTTTCTTGCAGGATATTACTGCTACACAAACTGAGATGTGCACAGACATTTCACTGCATTATGATGATCAAAAGCGATTGCTAAAAAGTAGCAACCATAAGTAGCTAATAGCTAGTTGCTAATAAGCTAACTAGCTTTTTAGCAGCCCATTGGAAATTAATTTATTGGCAGTTTCGCCATTGGCTCACTTCTTTTGCCAACTGGTACAATTTATTGATTTGCAGTTATCTTTTGTACATTTCTGCTGTGCTGCAGGTCTTAAATTTCATTCATAATAGTCTTAAAAAGTCTGAGTTTGTGAAACCCTGGACCAAGTGGATTCTACAAAATCCTGTCCTACTTTTAGAGCTAGCAGGTTTCTGAAATGATACCCACTTTACTTTTTTCTGTATATCACGGTAAAATATTTATTGTAGGCATGTAAATGCATGCTGGATTGAGTAGAAAAAAATGATTGGTTTATAATTACGGCAAATAAACTCGGCTTTAAAGAGTTGCAGCCAGTGCAAAAAAAAGAAAAAAAAAAGGTGAACAAACATCACAAAATTAAACCAGTGCATTTTTAACCTTCAAAAACACAACCGATATTGTTTTAGTATGAGAAACACTTTGATGAAACAGTGCATTCAGTTTCTCCAGCGTACTCCTCAGTTTTTATCTCCGTCTCCTCAAACTGTTACTCATAAAACAGTTCAGCAGGAGCAGAACAACTATAAGTCCAGTTTTTGTGGATAAAGCCCCAGTTTTAGGGTGCGTCAGTACTTGTTGATGCCAAATATCCGTACTCCGTGAAGCTGCGGCAGCTTTGGGATTAGGACGGTCATCAGGGAGCATGTGTTGATTAAAAAATGCGTTGCATCGTATTTTGTGTAGAAGCTGGCAAGAATGTGCCTGCAAAGAGAAACAGATCAGAATTAACTCGAATGCAACAGCTTACAAAAATATTCGTAGCCCTTGAACTGTTCCACGTTTTATCAATGTACTCCCACTGGCTTCAGTGCATTTCAGTGAGTTTTTGTGTCATATAATCTATGATTATGATCTATGGCACATAGATCAGTGTAGAGCATTGCTGTGAATTAAAAGGAAAATTATAGATCAAAAGTGAATAAGTAGGTAAAATGTATTTATACAACACCTATGACAGACATTAAAATGACAAAATGCTTCAAAAAGGCACAAACAGCAATGTCCTTCTTCATAAAACAATGTGTTCGTAAAGGATGAAGTTTGTGGTTTTAACCTACAGGAAACACAGAGAGGTCATCTGCATGTCATGAAGCTTGGATTAGAAAGAATCAGTTCAAAAATAAAATTCCCGATTCCTGATTTCAAACCAGCAGCTTAATTTAATTTCCAAACAGAAGTCCAGTGATTCTGTCATGATGATAAATGTTGCTGGACGATAAATTGTCCCACTTATGATAAACGGTGATATTGTTGTTTTGAGACCATTTTGCAGGAAGACATTCTCAAAGATCAAGAGGCTTTTCATTTGTAACAAATATTCAGAAGACATTTTAAATATCCAAAATAAACAAAACAACTGAAACAACAAATAAAATAAATGATGAAGTCTGTAAACACAATTGACCTTAAAAAAAGGGGATAGTTGAGACCAAAGCACCAGACTTGAGGTTTTTGGTAGAAATAGAGAAAAGAAAAAAGCAATAAATCATCCAAATAAAAATGTTTGAATTGGTTTTAATGAATTTTTTCACATTGATGTATTGCGACTGACCTCTGGATCATCATTGGTTTAAGAAATAAAATCGTAATTTTCTCAGAGACCTAAACAGTTTTAAATGCACGCTTTGATAAACTTTCTGAATGTCCTGCTGGTGCTAAAGCGACAGTCAAAAGTTTTGCTGACATCCTGTTTGCGCCCAGCGGCTTTCTGTCGTAGTCGGCTGATTTGCATTGAGCAGGTAACTCAACACACGTGTGGGGGAGGATCTGAAACCCAGGTGTGAACACAAACCGACAGCTGCCCACGTGTGATGGCTGACCCAAAGTGGGAACATTACACCAACACCTGATACATTACAAAGCCACTGGACAAGGTGCATTCCCTTTGTGTCTGGTGGCGTCATGAATCCACTTTAAATTATACTTTTTTTCTTGTACATTTGATGCAACCGAAAGTGTATTTGATCTGTCATCTCCTGCCATTTCCTCACAAAATGCACAGAATTTAATGTTAAAAATGGCAGGTTGTTGTATTAGAAAATATAAAAGAGGAGGATATACAAATGAACCATTAAAAGGAAAAGGAAGCACATTTTTATATTTTTGTCACGGACTATGGAAGCATTTCACTGCCAGAGATTTGACATAAATTCAGGAGCCGTTTCTCGTCCAAATGAGAAAATTTTCTCAATTAAACAAGAAAATTTAATCACATAATAAATTAAAATAAGCTCTATAATATCCATTTTAATTATTCATATTTTTACCGATCCATCATAATCTATTTCATTTGTATTTTTTTAGTCCCATTTGTTTTTGGTTGTGTTTTATTTTGAAGATTTCCAGTTTAATGGTCTTTGAGAGCTTGCATTATTATGCCATTATAAATATATTACTTGAAAATTGTCTCAAAACAACATTATTGTTAATTGCAATAATTTCTGGGACAATATATCGCGCAGTAAAATTTGTTCCTGAGGCCTAGAAGAAACCAGATGAGTATTTCCTCTACAGAAGCTGAGGAATTGGTTGTGAATTGTTTAAGTTGTGCTTTCTTTTTATTAGCTCTCCTTGTTTCGTTATGTAGTTGGATCTGTAAATGGAAGCATCCATTGTTTACTTCCGTAAACAGTGCGCTGCTGTGTGACGTTTACAACCTAAAGTGACCCACTTTAGGTTGTAAACCGTTCGCACAGACGTCTGACTGCGGTCCAGTTTAATTACTATATTTCAGCGAAAAAATTGGAAATGAGCATCAAGACCTGCTGTGTGAATGTAACTGAAAACATGCAGCATGTTGGCTGTTGAACTAGACCTGCTCATCCCGGTTACATTACATATACATGATAATTATCAGCCTATATCGATTATTGTAATGGCCGTCAACTAATTTATTAATCGATTAATCATTAACCCGTCACAGACTCAAAAAAGGTAATTTGCTGAAACAACAAACTCCGAGCAAATATTAATCAAAAACTGTAAAAATAAAAATCTATTAAGCACATTTTGCTGTCTAATTATTAAATTAATGAATCCAAAAACACAGATCAGGCCTGCATTATATTGATAAGTTAAGCTTTTCACATGGTGTTGTTAGAATTACTGTGGATTAATGAAACGATTAATCAGATTAATCGTGATTAATGAATTATTGTAATAATCGTCAACTAATTTAGTAATCAATTAAGCATTAATTAGAGTATTTGCTGAAAAAACTATATACTTAAAAGAGTAAAGAAGGCAAAAGTTTCTAGAAATACAAACATTTCGCATTAAAGACTTGAAAAAATGTGTAAATATGTTTTACCCAGAACTGGAAGAGTTTTAGGTTCACTTGGTTACAAAAAACTATTTATTCAAAAATTAATAAACAAATTAGCACTTCACTGTATTAAGGTAACAAGTTGATGTTTGAAGAATTTTTTTAGCTGTTGCTACAAATGTTCAAATATTCTGTTATTGCATTTTAGCCAATAAAATTATTTTCCCTTTTAAATAATTTGTTTATTTGCCGAAACATAAACAATATGTACATATATTAAAATGCGTATTATAATATAGTAAAAAAAACTGTTAAGTAGTTAAATGAAAACTGCCAAATGTGCCAATTTTTATCTGATTAACCATCAGAATAATCGATTACTAAAAGAATTGTTAGCTGCAGCCCTAATTTTAATGTTGGTAAAATTCTCTCTCTTCTGGTTTTTTTTCTGTTACTCATCTACTATCCAAGGTTCTTTAGGTCCCTACTTTCCCCTCCTGGTTTTCCCCGAAATTGTTCCCAGAATTTCCGAATTTTCCCAAGTTTAATTTAATCTCAACATCCCCATCAGTTCGCACACTGGCAGCCCTTTGTTGGGATACATCCATTCAAGGAAACAATTAATAAAATAACCGACGAATCTGATTGGGTCGTCAAAACGAAAGTGAAATTGTGTCTGGCACAACACATTTTTGCATTTTACCGGTAAGAGATACTCACAGAACAATTGGTGAGATGGTGAGGAACTTGCGTGAAGAAGTGAACTGGACGCCGTAGTCCATCTGTTCCCAGTGCGTGAGCAGACGAGCTTTGCCCTGGTCTGGAGTTTCGAAGGGAGTGCCCTTCACTGTGTGCAGGAACAGGTACATCGCCTGGAGAAAGGAGCACAGGAGCCGTCTATCACCCATCACAAACAGTTTCATGTTAAAACTGAAGCTCAGTTTGACTCCCGAGGGGGAAAAAAACTGCATTCGTTTAATTAAACATTGAAAAACGAAGGAATTTTAATGTCATTATCCTGAGTTTCTGTACATTAGGAGAGCCTAACTCAGTCAGGAGCCAAAACTTTAAACATGCTGCAAATGCAATCGACTGTCCACCATCTTCACATGTAAATAACTCAATGCAATCTGCTGTTTCCTTTGATAAAAAAACTTTATCTACATCGTATTTAAAGGGGTTTGCATAAGACTGACATGACACAACAAGAGTCAGGAACATGAAGGAGTCTTTATGAATGTTTATAACTGTTGTCATGAAGAGTCACTCAGTAAATAATGACACTATTAATGCAAAGTTAGATTAAAATTAGCATTAAAAGTGTCATTATTTACCGACTGACACGTCATGACAAGTCACCAAAACTTTTTAATTCATTTGAATAATAAACTCAATTTGACTACATTGTTTGGTAACTAGCATCAAACTTAAATATATGTTACTGACTTGAAATTATAATAATAATAATGGAAAGTTAATGCAAGTACACTCGTAAAGCACTTACTGAGCATAAACCAACATACTTTAATATCCATTAAATGTGCATAAACTGTCCTTGAGTATTAACAAGCAAATTTAAAAGCCAGAAAATTTGCAGAAAGTGACAACTTTCTTTGCAAAACACTCAAATAAAATATTTCTCGTGTTAATTCTTCCATTTAAATGTAAAATTATTACCGGAAAGTTGCTCCGTAGATCATTCTGGGGGGGAAACACAACAAAACATCCCGGGCCAAATTCCAATAAAACTTATCAGCAGTTATAGTTCAAGTCATGTCACAATATTTATGCTTATTTGTGTTTGTAGCAGCGAGGGGTTGCTGGTTCACCGCCACGCGCTGCCATTTTGTCTGAATGTGTGTAAAATAACAGAAGTGACAGGGAAACACCTGAAACAAAAGCTGGCCGAGAAAATATAAACATAAACAAATCCGTCACGATTTATGGTAAATATAAGCTGCACCTAGAAAAATTATTCGGTTTCATGCACCAACCCAGAAGCTAACTGGAAGGAAACTAATGCATAAATATCAACATATGGACAAATAAAAAATAGAAAAACAAACAAACTAGTAATTAAAGTTCACTGGTATTTATTTAATGCTACTGTTCTGTGAAAGGTTGAATGGCAGAAAACATTGCGCTTCACCTTAAAACTTGCAGGTAAAACTGCAAAATTAGTTGATTCTTCAAAGTATTGACAGATACGAACTAAAAACAAATGCTCACCACACTTTTCAGATTTTATTTGTAAAGAATTTTGAAAACCCAGAAGTTTTCTTCTACAAAATCCCCAAAAAAACAAATTAAAGTTTGAGGTTGGAACATGACAAAATGTAAAAAGTCCAGCATAGCGATAGCAGCTGAAGTAAGGAAGGGAACGATGATTTTCACACAATAATCTATGAACAGATCAAAGCATTTCTATTCTGTGAAATAGAAATGTCAGTCGGTTTCAGACTGACCAGATTGTGGATGACGTTGGTGAGGGTCCAGACCAGCGGCACCGAGAAGAAAGGAATGCTGAGCAGAACAATGTGCAGAACCACGGTCAGTAAAAGATAGGTGAGCCATATTCCCCTGCTGTTCATCACCCGTGTGTTGGGGTTCACCTCACTGTGAGCTACGCCAACATTCATCTATAATGAAAACAAAATAAAGTTTAAAAAGCATCTCATGGTGCTTTAGATTTGAGGAACAGTTAGACTTTATGCTTTTTGTCTCTGCAGTCAGACGAAGTGGAATTGGCCATTGGAAATGTTTTTATAGCTTTTTAAAAATTATTTCAGGTATCAAGCTTCATAACTGCGATGCACAACAATTGAATTAACTGCTAGGAAAAGAAATCTCTCAATTACATAACATTAATTTTGTAATAAACTACTAGGATTGTGCAACAGCCTAGCGGATATGCACAAAAATTGTGCGATTCAGTTTAAATTTAGTTATTTTTATTTATATTGATTTTATTTTTTACAAAAGCCATATCTGCACGTTGCAAATAAAACGTCCAATTTATATTCAGACCGATGCAACCCAAATCCGTCAATTCATGGTCTTCCCCTTATTATAATAGGCCTGAATCGACTAAATGTGATTAATCGATTATTTAAATATGTATGTGTAATAGAACACAAAAGCCAATAAATGTATGTAAAGTATTAGCTTTAGGGGGTGTTTTTTGTTTGTTTTAAAGCGGGTACGACCCCGCCCGGTTAAATTGTTCTCGGTACTGAAAACACGCGCCTCCAAAAAAAAACCCCCAAAGCTAACAAACTTAGCCGCAGTTTTCGTCCGCTAACCGCAAACCGGGCAGGAACAAACCACTGTAAATTAACCCGTACGTTCAAGTATTATAGTCTCCTAACTATTCGCACCGCAGCTGCCACTTGTTGAACTTTGAACAGTTATGACATAAACGGAGACAACGTTCGTCAGAAACAGCTCCAGGTTTTTCCAGCTGTTTCGTCAAACTAGCGCTCAGCGGAACCAGCTGCGGCCGACTTCACTCCGACTGAGGTTCCGCTGCGAGTTATCCCGATGATCCGGGCTGCATTTGGAGGGTTAAAACGGTAAACTTTCAACCGAAGCTAACTTTACCTTCCTGTGTTGTCGTAGGTCACCAGGAAACTTCTGTTTTTCCCCTTCTTCTTCACTAACCCCGCCCTCGTCTGGTGGGGACGGGATCCTCTGGCTGCAGCGGTGAGGAGTGTCGAGCCTCCACGGTTCCTGAAAGTTAGCAGCAAGAGAAACAAACTAGAAATGCATCCTTACAACTGATATAAATAATCCAGTGGGAAAAGCTTTAACTTTATCTTAAGTTCCCAAAGAGACACAAGAGGTTTGTGCCTGATGCTGCGTTCAGGGTCCTCAAAATCTTCACACGTTTTGTGTTTATATTCCATCTGGACATACATAACATACATTATGCATAGTAATTGTATACATAAAGTAATTTATTTAGGTTTTCCATTGCATTTTACAGTAAAACACACTTCTTCTGCAGCCCTTTGAGAAAAATGCAACAGCACAGTGTCACAAATAACCTTGTGAAACTTATATCCTTAAGATATTTGTCACATTCAAATTATATATAGATTGGATCTTATTTGGATTTAATGTTAGAAAAAAGAAATAGAAATGTATTTTATTGTCCCTCAGCAGGAAAATTCAGATGACAACCAAGCCGAAGCATTTGCACAAAAATAACTCAGAATGAATTAAAACAAGCTTGATCATTTCAACTTGCATGATTGTTTGGTTTTTTGTTTCTCTCTCTACCAAAGACAAAATGGAAACTACCCTCTTTTTAAATTGCAGTTGTATTTACAGAGACTTTAGTATCCATTTTATTTGTAGTTTTGGTTGTTCTGTTTATGTATTTTGGGATATTTAAAATGTTTTCCACTTCCAGTGTTAAATGTTCATGAGAAATTAAAGTTTATAGATCTTTCAGACGGTGTACTTGCATTATTATTGTTTATTCCAATAACTTCTGGGACAAAATTTGTTGTCAGGCCTAAATGGAAGTAATAATATCTTACTGCACAGTAATTTCAGGAAAAAAGTGTGTAGTTATTACAAATAACCCACTATAATTCAAATGAATGTACAACTATGATCATTTAAAATGATGTATGTATATTTGTGCATAAAAAAACACAAATTTTTATTGCACATGTATAGAAGTTATACAACTTCTAAGTTGTATAACTTAGAAGAAGCGGGAAAAGCTCTACAAACAACCAGGATGTTATTTGAAATCAGAAAACGTGTACAAATATCAGCAGCAGGTAAACACTTGAGTAATCGAAAGACGGTTGCAAGAGTTAGCAGACGTGAAAACTTTTTATTTTTCTATTGCAGTTCCCAAAAAAAGTGCAGATGTGAAAATAAAACAAATCCTTTGTCAGTCAGCAATGCTTCGTAATGTCAAACTCTGTACAAATAATCAGAAAGAAATTAAATTGTGAAGACTATAATGGCTGTTTCTGCATCCTGACTGCTGTAAAGCTGTTTTCACACTAACAGGAACACAATAAAGCATGAGCTCAGGCTACAGTAAACAATAAAGTTTCATGCAATACCAGAATAATGCTGAGAAGACTATTTCACCAGGTGATCTCATACAACAGCTGATTTCCCCATTTTGACTGATTTATTAAAAGCGGAAATATAATAAAACAACAATGCAGGAAAATAAAACAAAGACAACAAAGAAGTTTAAAGCAATAATAAAGGAACAGCGTCTCGTTCTCAGCGAAGGAAGAATCTACTTAAAACAAAGAAGAAAACACACAGTTACTGACACTATGAGGAAATTATTTCTCGTAACATGTAAAACAAATGTTGTAATGTAGGAACTAACTGCAATGATCGCTTGTTTACACGTCTGCTGAGTCCTGCATTTTTACAATTATTTAATGTGATGTAACTCAACCAGTTGATTTCCAATTATATGCAAAACAAATGAAACTCACACAAATCCACTCCAACCGTATAATTTATTGACACACTGTTCTACGTCGTCCTAAATATAAAGTCTCCATCCGCAGTCATTCATTTTGCAGCCATTCCTCCTGCAGCGAGCATGTGGAGAGGAATGAATCTACTTATAAAAAGAAGAGAAAACACAGATATTTACAAGCAGTAATTGTTTTCCAGTAGAGCATAACAATAAAACAAATAAGATAATCAGGAAATATCATGAGTGATGTAATGTAGGAACTCATTGTTGTGATCTCTTGTTTACATTCAAAGAAACTCGAGAGACACAGGCTTGCTGACTCCTGCATTTTTATATTTATTCAATTTAACAAAACCTGTTATTAAAATATAACCTTTAACTTTGTGTGAGCTGCCATCTGCTGTTACAGACCGGGGTTTTATTGAATTAACTGATGCGTCCTCTTTTTCTTTTCTAATAGCACTTTATGCACTTTAATTTATTGGATGAACACATTTTTTATTTTTTATAAAAGCTGCTTTGCAGCAAGAATGTCCTGGATTTGAGTACCGGCTTCGGGTTTGTCTGCTTGGAGCTTCTCCCTGTTCTCTCTGGGTACCCCAGCTTCCTCCCTCTGTCTCTCCAAATTACCCTGTGTGTGTGTGTGTGTGTGTGTGTGTGTGTGTGTGTGTGTGTGTGTGTGTGTGTGTGTGTGTGTGTGTGTGTGTGTGTGTGTGGTGTGTGTGTGTGTGTGTGTGTGTGTGGGGGTGTGTGTGTGTGTGTGTGTGTGTGTGTGTGGCTGTTTGTTTCTATGCACCGTATAGATGCAATGCACATATGTAAGTTTTGAATATCCATGTATAGAAATAGTTTTTTCATGCAATTTGGAAACCCCAGTAACTTATATACAGTTAGGGCCAGAAATATTTGGACAGTGACACAGGTTTTGTTATTTTAGCTGTTGACAAAAATATGTTCAGAAATACAATTTATATATAGTATGGGCTGAAAGTGCACACTCCCTGCTGCAATATGAGAGTTTCCACATCCAAATCGGAGAAAGGGTTTAGGAATCATAGCTCTGTAATGCAGAGCCTCCTCTTTTTCAAGGGACCAAAAGTAATTGGACAATGGACTCCAAAGGCTGCAAGTAACTCAAAAGGCCTTTCCCTCGTTAACCTGTAATCAAGTAAGTAGTTAAAAGGTCTGGGGTTGTTTCCAGGTGTGTGGTTTTGCATTTGGAAGCTGTTGCTGTGACCAGACAACATGCGGTCAAAGGAGCTCTCAATTGAGGTGAAGCAGAACATCCTGAGGCTGAAAAAAAGGAAAAAATCCATCAGAGAGATAGCAGACATGCTTGGAGTAGCAAAATCAACAGTCTGGTACATTCTGAGGAAAAAGGAATTGACTGGTGAGCTTGGGAACTCAAAAAGGCCTGGGCGTCCACGGAAGACAACGGTGGTGGATGATCGCCGCATACTTTCTTTGGTGAAGAAGGACCCGTTCACAACATCAACTGAGGACCAGAACACTCTCAGGGAAGTAGGTGTATCTGTCTCTAAGTCAACAGTAAAGAGAAGACTCCATGAAAGCAATACAAAGGGTTCACATGTAGATGCAAACCATTCATCAATTCCAAAAATAGACAGGCCAGAGTTAAATTTGCCCAAAAACACCTCAAGAAGCCAGCCCAGTTCTGGAAAAGTATTCTATGGACAGATGAGACAAAGATCAACCTGTACCAGAATGATGGGAAGAAAAAAGTTTGGAGAAGAAAGGGAACGGCACATGATCCAAGGCACACCACATCCTCTGTAAAACATGGTGGAGGCAACGTGATGGCATGGGCATGCATGGCTTTCAATGGCACTGGGTCACTTGTGTTTATTGATGACATAACAGCAGACAAGAGTAGCCGGATGAATTCTGAAGTGTACCGGGATATACTGTCAGCCCAGATTCAGCCAAATGCTGCAAAGTTGATCGGATGGCGCTTCACAGTACAGATGGATAATGACCCCAAGCATACAGCCAAAGCTACCCAGGAGTTCATGAGAGCAAAAAGGTGGAATATTCTGCAATGGCCGAGTCAATCACCAGATCTTAACCCAATTGAGCATGCATTTCACTTGCTCAAATCCAGACTTCAGACGGAAAGACCCACTAACAAGCAAGACCTGAAGGCTGCGGCTGTAAAGGCCTGGGAAAGCATTAAGAAGGAGGAAACCCAGCGTTTGGTGATGTCCATGGGTTCCAGACTTAAGGCAGTGATCGCCTCCAAAGGATTCGCAACAAAATATTGAGAAAAAACTTTTTTGTTTGGGTTATGTTTATATGTCCAATTACTTTTGAGCTCGTAAAATGTGGAGTGTTTGTAAACAAATGTGTACAATTCCTACATTTTCTATCAGATATTTTTGTTCAACCCTTTAAATTAAACGTTACAATCTGCACTTGGATTCTGTTGTAGAGGTTTCATTTCAAATCCAATGCGGTGGCATGCAGAGCCCAACTCACGAAAATTGTGTTACTGTCCAAATATTTCTGGCCCTAACTGTATTTTAATTCAACCTGTTTGGATTTAGAAAATAAGAATACACTGCAAAAACACTAAAATTTCCAGTCAAAATAAACATGCTGACAATTTTAAAGGTTATTTAAAACTGAATCTGTTGTATATAAGAATAATTTTTTGTCATTTTTTTCAGGGAGACACAGGATTTATTCATCCAAATTTGGTTTCTGAAATCTTAAAATCAATTATCTTTGCTGTTCTTATGTCACATTTATTCACTGCAAAAACACAGAATCTCACCAAGTGTGTTAGTTTAGTTTTTATTGCAGACTTCTTGGTACATTGAAATAAGACATAAATAACCTTTCAGTAAGATATGGGAGCTTGTTTTAAGTCAATAACTCCTCAATATTGAATAAATAAGTACTAGTTCTGTTAGCAGATTATATTTTTTCATGTAGTAAGTTAATTAGTCTGTCAGTTTAACTAGCACTTTTGTATCAATATAAAGGAATTATTGACTAAAAATGAGCTCCTGACAAGTAACTTACTGAAAAGTTTTGTTAATCTGAAGCGCTCTATAGAAAGTAGACCATAAATACTCTTTGGTAGGATTTTGTGTTTTTGCAGTGTATTTGCTCTCTCTATGTCTGTGAAACTTCGTTGTGCAAAATAAGTTCTGGTTTTATCCATTTCAGTTCTCGCCTTCACCTTCCAAATCCATTCATTCTTGTTTCATTCAACCATAATTCACAGTTTACAGCATGAGGACTAACACCTTTTGATGACAACAGCCTTGATGACCATATTTTATCTCTGACTTCCTTCTTTTCTCTCAGCACAAATGAAACTGTCCTCATCTGACCAGAAAACATGTTTTGGTGTTTTTCTGTGATGAGCTCATTCAAACCAAGCTTCTGTTTCTTTGAACACAGCTGCAGTTTTGTGCAGAATTAAAATAAGACTTCCT